TGCACTGCCCTCCTGAGACTTCTGCCCCAGAGCTGCTTTATAGCAGAGGACATGCAAATAGAACGTCCCTCTGCCCATGAAAACCAGCCCAGCCCTGACCTGAGCTCTGTGAGCTGATTCCACCAGTGACTGAGCACAGACCAGCACCATGGAGCTGGGGCTGTGCTGGGTTCTCCTTGTTGCTCTGTTGAAAGGTGATTTAGGGGGAACAAGGGATACTGAGTGTGCAAATGGACATGAGTGGGAGGAACAGTGGATGTATGTGACCATTGCTGACCAGGATGCTCTGTGTTTACAGGTGTGCAGTGTGAGGTGCAGCTGGTGGAGTCTGGGGGAGGCTTGGTGCAGCCTGGGGGGTCCCTGAGACTCTCCTGTACAGCTTCCGGATTCACCTTCAGTAGTTACTACATGAGCTGGATCCGCCAGGCTCCAGGGAAGGGGCTGGAGTGGGTTGCACAAATTAATCCAAATAGTGGAAGCACATGGTATGCAGACTCTGTGAATGGCCGGTTCACCATCTCCAGTGACAACAGTAAAAGCACGCTGTACCTGCAAATGAGCAGCCTGAGAACCGAGGACACGGCCCTGTATTACTGTGCAAGAGACACAGTGAGAGGAGCCCTGTGGGAGCCCAGACACAAACATGCACACAGCCTGAGGCCAGCAAGGGGCGCTGAGCCCTCGTCAGCTGCAGGTGTGGTGAGGAGGCGGCCCTGGGGTCTGGCCTCCACCCTCCCAGGGCTCCAGGACCCCAGCTGGTGTCTGCCCTGCGCTGCTGCACGAACACAGAGGCTGGGCTCCTTCCATCTGAATGCCAGGCAGGGCCTGACAGAGCAGCGAGGCCCAGGCTCCGGCTCAGGCAGAGCTGGCTCCGCACAGGCCAGGGCGGGTCTGGAGCGCTCAGGGCTCCGGGTGCGTGCTCTCCCGCAGGCTCAGCACAGAGACTCCAGGCTTCCTGCTGAGCACAGACTGGGCCCGGCTGTGGGAGTGGTGACCGCAGACTCCCGGAGCTCGCGCTGAAAGGACCGGCCTCTGTCCTCCCACCAGGCCAAGCTCATCAAATTCTGGTCCAATCATGTGTGTGTGCAGATCCTTGTCTGACATGACCCACCCATGTTCACCTTCGCTTTTATGAGTTTGCAACTCTAAACCGCTGCATGTGCGTTGTGGGCTCACCCCACTGTCGGGCACGTCTTCCTGAGGATCACATGTGGCTTGTCTGTCGGAAGAAGGTGGGTGGACTGCGGTGCCGGCGTGCACAACCATATCATGCAGGAAGACAATGCAAGGGTGGACAGGAAGTGGCCGTGCACAGGATGGAGTGGGCAGACAGAATGACACACACCAAGTAGAAATTAGGGACAAGGCAGGGAGCATGGAGCACAGGACATCCTAGGGAGAATGTGGCAGAAGTGGCTGAAGTACGTTCACATCTTGGATGACTGTAGAAGTCCACCTCAGGCAGGCCAGCAAGCTTATGGGAGTGTGAATCTCTCAGCAGCGTCAAGCATTCAGGATTGCTTTCTTTGATTACAGGTAATAAAATGTGAGAAGAGGACAAAGGATAATGTACTCAGAAAGAATCAACCGGTAATGAACAGAGTATTCTATTAGGAGGTACTGCAATACTGCAGTGACCAGAGGAACAAATCCTAAGATTTGCTGTGGACAGAGAGAGGCCGGGGCTGCTGACCAGGAAAACAGAAATGAGAACCAGGGACATTTCACAGGCAGCCACACCCATCCCAGACCCACACGGCAGCACCTTCTGTGTTCTGCTGGGATTTTAACATGAAACACACACACATTTTAAACATCACCCTCAAGGACTGAAATGACTGTGGGACATCAGGGCCTCTGGTCCTGAGTGAGGCTCTGTCCTGTTCAACCCCAGACCCAGGGCCTGCACCCCTCCCACCAGGCCCCATTCTGAACGTTCACCTGATGTGCTGGGGACCAAGACCTGACTTTCCACTTGGACCTCCAAGTTAGGGAACCCAGAAGCACTACCCTCCTGACACTTTTGACTCAAGTTTGGGTAAGAAGCCACTCTTGTCAGTATTATTATGAAATAGTCCCACATGAATACCTCTGTACACACATGCTCACAAAACTGGACACACATCAATAACGAGTCAGGTGTCCCATTCACATCCATGTGCACACACATCAATAACTAGCCTGGTCTTTAATGAAGACACAGGGAAATTGAGGCTTTCTATGCAGAATATAGAGCCCATGGAATAGCCAATTGATAATATAGATTTTATATCAGGATCAATTAAATGTAAATTGAAACTCATCAAATTTCTGCTCAAGTGACAAATAAGTAAATGACAGGCTGTGGAGAGGAAGAAATGTTGGCAAATCACACACCCAACAGCATTTGTGCATCCAGACTGAGAGAGGAACCCTCAACACAACTGTTGGAAAACCCATTGATGAGCTGGCAAAGACTTGTACAGATATTGTGTAGTTGTGCCTAGGCTAATGCATGTCAAGTGCACACTTGGTGACTGTGAGGTTCATGTAGGCATTTATCCTTGGAGAGGTTGTTGGCAGTAAGCAGTCGATGAGATGAGAGGAAGTGACAGACATGCAGATGATGACAGAGGACATGCAGGCTTGTCAGCAGTGTCCCCATGAGCCTGGCTCTCTGAGTCTTCTTTCAGCAGTTCCTGCAGTGCATCACGTCTCTCCTGCTCTCACTAGAGGACCGTGACCCACTCAGCTCAAGAATGGAGCAGAGGACACCGACCTCAGCAATGAGGGAGAGGAAGGACAGATGACGTCGCAGACATGAGATCTTCTACAGAGCACACTGCTGTGTGGAACCTGTGTGTACTTTCCCGTCTGTGCAGGGAGGTGACTGTACTATTCAGATCAACATGGGATGAATACGTGGATAACCAGCAGGTGGAAGCAATGGGTGCCGTGTGTTCTGGGAGGCCATCTTTGTAGCAATGGCCCTCAGGACTCTCACATCTGCCTCAGCACTGCCCTCCCTGACACCTCCACCCGGCTCTCACTATGTAGCAGAAGACATGCAAATAGGGCCTTCCTCTACTCACTAAAACCAGCCAGCCCTGACCCTGAAGGCCTGGAGAGACGTCAGCCCTGGATTCCAGGTGAACCATTCAGGGCTCAGGCTGACACAGAGCACTCACCATGGAGCTGGGGCTGCACTGGGTTCTCCTTGTTCTGCTGAAAGGTGATGTATGGGGACAAGACACACTGAGTGTGCAAATGCACACGAGTGGGAGGGACAGGGGACGTGTGTAAACATTGTTTACCAGGATTCTCTGTGTTTGCAGGTGTGCAGTGTGAGGTGCAGCTGGTGGAGTCTGGGCGAGGCTTGGTGCAGCCTGGGGGGTCCCTGAGACTCTCCTGTGCAGCCTCCGGATTCGACTTCAGTAGTAACTACATGAGCTGGCTCCGTCAGGCTCCAGGGAAGAGGCCTGAGTGGCTCTCATACATCAGTGTTAGTAGTAGTGACATAAAGTATGCACTCTGTGAAGGGCTGCTTCACCACCTCCAGAGAAAACAGCAAGAACACAGTTTACCTGCAGATGAACAGCCAGAGAGTGGAGGACACAGCCGTCTATTACTGCGCCACAGACATACAGTGCAGGAAATCCAGACACAAACCTCCCTGCAGGGTGCTTAGCACCAGCAGGTGTAGCTCAGCTCACACTGAGGTCATGCTCAGTCAGCACCAGCAGGGGGCTCTGGGCTCACACTGAGGTCAGGCTCAGTCAGCACCAGCAGGGGGCACTGAGCACACACTGAGGTCATGGCAGTCACAGGAGCAGCTGTGGAGCACTCTGGTTCTGACTCCTCTGTGTGCCTGGCCTCTCCACAGGACGCAGCGTCCCCCACAGAGCTGTCCACTGTGTTCTTGCTGTTCTCCAACCCCTCAGCACACAGCTTTTTCCATCTTCCATTGTCATGGTTCTGTTGTGGTTGATGATGCATCCTTGAGAGGACCAGACACAGCACCATGCACGGTCGGTGGACACTGCTGAGATCACTGAGGTGAAATCTGAGGAAGGTCAAGATCCCTCCTCAGTCCTTTCCTCTCAGACTCGGGACAGACGCAATGGACTCCCTGCCTAGGTCAGTCTTTATCCTCAGGTTGGAGTGTACGGGATGTTGTGCAGAGCCAGGGCCTCCATGTCACTGATGGATTTCAAGGCCCACTGTTCCGCTCACACAGCCCAGCGTCCAGCCCGGCTTTGATCCCGTTGTCACCTTTCCTCTTGCTGGTGACATGTGAGTGGCCATTGGTCAGGACCGGGAGCTGCTCTGTGACCCACTGAGCCCAGTCGTGGGCACCGCTGAGCTGTGGTTACCTGCAGAGGCCCAGTGACCCCCACCAGCTCCTCTGCCTCCGTCCCTTTCTACACACACTGTAGATGACGAGGCTGAGTGGGATTCTCAGCCTCCCTCTCCTCTGCAGGTGTCCACTCCCAGGTCCAGCTGGAGCAGCCGGGGGCTGAAGTGAGTAGGCCTGGAGACTCGGCCAGGTTGGCCTGCAGGGCCTCTGGATACACCTTCACCAGCTATTATATGCACTGGGTGAGGCAGTAGTCAGGACAGGGGCTTGAGTGCATGAAGGATCGATTCTAGAGATGGTGAGACCAAATACACTCAGAAGGTCCAGGGCAAGGTCTCCCTGACTGCAGACACCTCCTCCAGCACAGCCTCCATGGAGCTGAGCAGGCTGACAGCTGAGGACTCGGCCATGTACTACTGTGCGAGGCACAGTGTGCACACCCACATCCTGAGTGTGTCAGAAACCTGAGGCAAGGCAGCTGCCTGGGGCTGTGTGGAGAAAGCTGATTCCCTGAGCGCTGCTTAGAACACACAGATGATTCTGAGCAGAGGGCTGCAGACCCAAGCCCATGCTGAGTGTGGGAAAGGTTCCACCCATCCCATTCTCAGAAAACACAGACAGCAAGGGGTTCCCAGTGAATAAAGCCAGGGCAAACACTCCCAGCTAATAGTCATGTGAACAGGTTTCCCAGTCAACTGATCCCCTGTCTACAGAGCTTTTTGCATAAATGGATGCTCTCATTTGTCAAGGGCTTTTTCTGCATCAAGATGATCATTTTTTTGTTCTAGATATACATAGGTATACAACGCTGTGTAGATATGCACACATGTATATGTGTGTAGAATACATTTATTCCATGTGTGTTATATATGTGTGTATATGTTGCTCTAATGTGTACCCTATGATAACTTCACACACTTATACACATATACAAATCTAATTTGCTTTTATATAGTTTCCCTATGCATATTTTCCTATGCAAATCTGCAAAAAGCACAGTTATGTACACTAATGCAGAGATTTATCGACCCCTCTTATCAGTGGAATATTGCCAGAGCCTGCCGGCAACGAAAGGGTATCCTGATTTAGGGCGGGAGGATGGAAAAATAAGGACATAAGACAAAGGATGGGGTCAGGAGGTCTGCAGCTCAAGACTGCAGCAGCGTTTATTTTTAACTTTCCCTAATATATACTATTAGAAGTCAAGAGGTAACATAAGTTTACAGTAGTCCAGAAAAACAAGGAAAATTCCAGTAAAAACACAGTGCAGTAAAACAAGACAAGGTCAACTGGTAGAGAGTAAAACAAACTCTGCAGACATAGCAACGCAATCCCGGGCACCTGGTGTTTTTAAGAAAGCCTGTTCCTTGTACTTGCCTTCAAGTGAACACAGGGGTCAAGATGACCTTAGAGCTTTACTGTCAGCTCCCAACAGAATATGAGGGGAGTTTTTATAATACCTGCACTACCAGCTGGGAATATGTCTAGAACCTGAAAGTCTGTTTCCTCTCATTTGTGTCCTGTGAACTGGTAAGTCAGACAAGGGACTACGGGCTCATCAAACACCTACTCCACAGGGAATATTCACCCAGGACCGCTTCCCCTCCTCTTACATGTTCACTTCACATGGGACGTCTTCTCTTCACTTACACATTCACTTCACACGGGACATCTTACCTTCCTC